TTTTCCATTTCCATAAGGCGTAATATTGGAACGCATTGCCTCTTTTAATTACGTACCGACAATTGACACACGTGTAAGGCCACATTCATCATTATCTCACGTCAATTGCTTTTAGGCCTTTGTTGATTTCATGTCCAAATCAAAATTGGGACTAAATTAATGTACCAATAAGCCAATAACCTAACAACATTTAGGTTGGAGACCGAATTCGTTTTTGCTGAAGCCATACAAAAAGTCAAATTGCTATTTTTTTTTTTTTTTTTTGGAAAACTTGCTTTTATTAAGAAGAAGCTAAATTAGCTTATACAAAATAACTTATAAATTTAAAATTAATCTCAACTCAACTGATATTAACAGAATTAGATAATACAAAATCAGCTAACATATGGGCTATAAAATTCTCTGACCGGGAAATGTAACAAATAAAATCACAATGTGCCTGAGGGAACATAGAAATTATACCTCTAATAACGTTGGAGTCAAAAGATCTAATACTCATCTGCTTAAGGGCACGATCGAACCGCATTCACAACATCCGTCTCAATAATTAGGTTTTAGAAATCCCTAGACCGTGCAAAGAGCACTCCTTCACCGCGTCGATCCTGATCACAATACCAATCCTAACATGATCAGAAGACTCCTTGACCGAAGCGTCCACGTTTACCTTCACCTACAAACTATAAAATGTTTTCTTTTTAGTAGTAACAATGCAATGCAAGAATAAAACTACAAAGTTTTTTTCTTTTTTCTGTTTTATTGTTGTTTTAAGAGGAAAAAAATCTTTAAAAAAAAATTGGTCTTGAGTTAATTTGACTCTCAAGGTGAGCAGTAATTGGTAGTAAAAACAAAAAACAGCTAATTAAGGCAATTTTCGTTTTGTTTAACTTATGAGGGAGGGATTTGAACGTTAAACATCAACTTTAGAATGTGATGCACAGCTAAAATGCATAATATTATAAATAGAAGACAAAAAAGAGGTGTTCGTATTTAAAATGCATATAATTCCATCCGTAGTTTTTCCGTCGCACATTAATTGATTTATGAAATCAGAGATTCATGGTTTTTTATTTGCTTGCAACGTACGTAGATCGAAATCTCCAATTGAATAATTTATTTTAAGAAAAATATTGTTACCTAATGTTTATTTTAGAAATCGAATATTAAGTTAGTAACAAAATAAGTTAAATTAGTCACTTATCTTAATTTTTTTATTAAAAGAATAATTTTAGATATAAGTAAATCAAATTATATGACAATTAATAAAATAAAATTATCTTAACTATCTTTATAGGGTTTTTTCTGCCAAAAAGCTAGACGATAATTATTTTATTTTATTTTTTGCCCTCACACAACTCTCATATTCTGATAATCATTCCATTCAATTAGGATTATAATGATGATATGTTAGCTGTACGTTGAAAATAAACTATTTGGACGGGGTGTGAACCTAAATTTTATAAACGATATATCATGCTAAGCACTAAATGTGTTAATTCTCAAAATTTCTGTCACACAACCTCCTGACACTTAAATTAATAATAACATGGATTATTCTCGCTAGTGCTTTTTGAATTTTGGAGTCTTGTCAGTTTACTTCTTAAACTTTAAAAACTCACTTTATCTATTGAATTTTAAATTATTCTCACTTAATCTATTTTGTTGTAATTTTTGTTAAAATCAGATAGAAAAAAGAGGATTAAGTGTGATCACGTGACTGCGTTATTCTCTTTTTTTCTATATGTTTTTAACAAAAATTATAACATAAATGGTTAAGTGGAACAAATTTAAAGTTTAAGAGGTAAAATGAAAGTTTTTTAAATTTAAAAGGTAATATGATAATGAGCCTAAATTTCAATAGTATCCGTAATAATATTACTAATAACATAATGTTTTTCTAGTCACCGTGATCAGTATTCTTTAGCGGTCCTTTTTACGCTACTTTTTAGTGGTCCCTTTTTTTTAACGTATAATTAAATAGCAAGATTCTTCTTTACATTAGTCAGGTCTATTTATTGTATTCCAAGGATAAGATACTTGCCTAGTTGCCCCTAATCCATGGTGTCAAGAATTGACTGGTAATCACCAATTCCATGCATGCTTCTAAAATAGTTTTTTTTTTTTTTTTTAATTCGATCAAACGAATACAATTAAGAATTTAGATGTGAGCAGCAACAAAAAGAAGAAGAAGAAAGAATAAAGACACAAGATTTTGAACTCTGCTTACATATGAGCCAACTAACTAAGAATGAGAGATCTAAGATATATATCATGTAGTAGGGACGTCAAGAAGTTGTAATAAGAATTTATTTTCTTTGATATATTACTATCTTTTCTCTTTTATAATTATATATATATATATATGATTGATTCAACTAATAAAACGACAAATGGTTAATTAATGCAAGTCCTGTACTTATCCTTTCTATTTAATTATCATTTAATAAGGAAAAACTGTCTGAAATATGTACATGCGTTGGTGAGGACAAATAAGAGAGAGGTTGTAATCTCGGAAAGAGAAAATTAAAGGAGGATCAAGGGATGATATATATATATATATATATATATTGAGGGTATTTGAAAAAGAATTACTGAGCCCTAGAAATGAACAAAAGATAATTTGTTTTGCTGCTATTGTTAGAGAATAACCTCTTTTTCTTTTTTGAATAAAGAAAGTTTTCAATCAAGTGAAAGAAATATTAGATGCGTTTGTAACTCGTTTTAAAATGATTTTATTTTTTATATGAAAATAAAAATAAAAACGTTTTTAATCTCATACAAAAATTATTTTTAAAAATACGTTTGATAGTTTTATCAAGATATTATTTTCAGTGTAAAAAAATCCATTAACATATCTCTTTCTCTCTTTGCTCCAGAGAGGAGAAAATGAAAACAAAAAATAAAAAATGATTAAAAAATATTTTTTTATTTTTCTCTTATTTTACACTAAACTAAAAAATCATTTTCACTTATATTTTTTTTATCTTTATTGCGTTAAACGCCGTTTTGAGAACGTTTTCATTTTTTTTTCTCAAAAAATGTGAAAAAGAAACGGGTTCAATTCTAAACATTATCATTATAATTGTAGATCTTAAAGCAATACCAAAATAGATTTAACAAACAATGCATTATAATAAGCAAATCATTGATTCCAATAAAGAAATTATTTGAAAGTTTAGTATAATATAAAATTTGGCTTTTGAGTCCAAAGTAGCATACTCATTATCGCCTTTGCTAATTAGATTTTGCAAAATAATTGATCTATCCATAATTGAAAAAACAATTAGCAAATAATTTATTAGAGAAAATCGGAAACTAAATTATGAGCTGATGACAAACGTGGGTAAGGTGGGGGGTGTCAAGAGGGGTTGTTGGGGGGCGGGAGCGGTTGGATGGTCACCAACCAAACTGCCAAGAAAAAAAAAAAAAAAAAGAAAAAAAAAACCATTTTGATTTTGATTTTGGCCATCATTTCATTTCCCCGTTATTTTACTCTCCTTCCTTCCTTGCCCATTTCTGAACTTTTTCCAAAGACCACCCTCCTTTCCCTTTGGTTATTAGTACATCAAGGCATTATTACATTATCATCACCATATACTTACTACATCAACAATAATAACAATTATAATGATAATATTAATAATAATAATAATAATAACAATTATAATGATAATATTATTAATAATAATACATTGGCCCTCATAGTCAGGGATTTGGGTGTTTTATAGTAATGCGTTAATGAATTCATAATCCCACTGGCCAAGATCCCATGGCTATGAATAAAAGCTTCTTTTGAGAGCAATTCCATTTAGCATCATCACATGATTTTTTGGATTGAAGCAAAATATAATAACTTATGCATTATCACATTGGATTAATATCGTTTGTTTGGTTAGCAAATTCCAATAATAAAAGTAAATGAAAATTGGGAGTCCAACACGTAACATTTGAAGCGTGAACAAAAGGGTAATATTTCCTGGGAGTCGTGATTGCAAAAAAAAGGTGAAAGAGAGGGATCAGAAAGTGTTTGACCATCCATCAATGATCAAACTAACTAGGTAAACATTTTTCCATACGAAAATACTGGTTACCGTTTTTCTTCTTCTTTTTGCATTACGTTTTCTCATTTTATTGATATTGATATTGATACTGATGACACAATTAAGAAAAAAAAAAAAAAAAAAAAAAAAAAATATGAGCGTGTAAAGCTGTAAAAGGACAAAGGGAATAAAACTACCCGGTTAAGTAACATTTGTTTGATGTTTATCCAATAATTGAGCTAATTACCCTGTTTCTTATTGATCTATCCATTTTTCATATTCTGTTTGTTTTTCCGTGTTGTCGTCCACGACAAAATTATGCAAAAATGAGATTAGCTTTCTTCATGGATTGGTCGTCCATTCTTGTTGTCCACATTAATTGCCTCTTTTTTATTTTTTTATTTTTTATTTTTATTGAGATTGAGACTCAGATGTCCACATTAAGCTCAGCAATAGGACTCTCATCTCCAAATTTTATCAGACAATAATAATAATAATAATAATAATAATAATAATAATAATATCATCCCTCATTCTCTCGCACTTTACCCAGAAAAACAAAAAAAACAAAAAAAAAAGGAAAAAGAACGAGAGAGAGAGAGGGAGAGCTGAGCATCCCAACTAAAGGCCAGCGACCCCGTAACACCCCCCAAATTGTTTCACTTAAATTAAATTAAAATAACATAAATAAAATTAAATAAAAAAGGTGGGTTTTCTTGGCAGACAAGACCAACTCTAATTTCACTCTAAACCAACCACAATTAATTTAATCAAATCCCACTTCTTTATAAATACAATAAGCATGCTTGTTTCTTTGTTTCTTTCCTCCCCCAGTTCCTACTCTCACTCTCTCTCTCTCTCTCTCTGGAAATTCTCTCCCACCCTTCACGCAAAGCAGCTTTCACTTTCCTTTTGTCTTGTTTAAATTGTTGTTTTTTTTTTGGTTCCTGGGTTTCCGTGCTCTCACTCTCTCTCTCTCTTCTTTTTCTGTCATTGAGATCTGTTTCAGCTTCAATCAAATAATTATTTTCTTTAAAATAAAAATGGGGTATTCCCAAGGCAGTAGCAGTTGCGGCAACTCTGATGAAGAAGAGGAGCTGAAAATGAAAGCCATTCTCAGGAGAATGAAAATGGTGTTTGAGCTCGGCTGCTTTGTGCCGCAAAGCCAAAGGCTAAGGAGAAGAATATCTTTGAAGAAGGCTGAGAATCAGAATCAGAATCAGAACCATTATCAGAAGGAAGAAGATGAAGATGGAGATGAAGACGAAGATAACATGAAGCAGAAATTCGAGCACAACAAGGCATGGCTACTTGCAGAGTGTGGTGGTGGTGGTGGTGGTGGTGGGTCCAACATGAGTCACATGAACGGGGACCCACAGTCAGTTCATTCGTCATTCAGGTTCAGCTTCTGCTCTCAGGTGGAGCTTGAGAAAATGAACATGAACATGAGTTCTTCGAGCTCTTCAAGCGCAGCGACTGTTTTAATGGTGAATTTGGAGAATGGCCGGAATAACATCACTTGTGTTTCTGAGTCGAAAGCCAAAGAGATGAAGTGCAGGAGAATTCAGTCCTTGGAGAGAACCATTTCTCCCCTCGCCATTACCACCACTCTTGTCAGATTCACCTTTCCTGAGATTGCCTCCGCCACGCGCAATTTCTCCAAAGGTAAGCTGCTACTTGTTTCCTTCATGGTTTTTCTTCTTCTTCTTCTTCAGATCGTCAAATTTGTTGTATTCTTTTCAGGAAATAGAAATTATGGGTGGATCTTGTGCTTAATACGATTTAGTAAAAGTGACTGACGCCCTTTTTTGTTTATTTGCAGGTAGAGTGCTGGGGAGAGGGGCTCTGAGCTATGTGTTCAGAGGGAGAGTTGGTATGATGAGAACGTCGGTGGCGATAAAGAGGCTGGACAAAGAAGACAAGGAATCCTCAAAGGCATTTTGTAGGGAATTGATGATTGCTGCTTCCCTTCATCACCCGAATGTCGTCCCTCTCCTTGGCTTCTGCATTGATCCTGATCACGGCTTGTTTTTGGTCTACAAGTTTGTTTCTGGCGGCAGCCTCGACCGCCATTTGCACGGTTCGCGCTCTCGCTCTCGCTTCTTTTTCTTTGGATCCTTTATGGTATATGTGTATGAGTTACCAATCAAATTTGCAGAGAAAAAGAAGAAGAGGGGAATTAAGGGCACTTCAACACTCGGTTGGTCAGTGAGATACAAGGTGGCCATTGGGATTGCAGAGGCAGTTGCATATTTGCATAATGGGACTGAAAGATGTGTTGTTCATAGAGATATTAAACCCTCTAACATTCTTCTTTCTTCCAACAAAACACCCAAGGTATAACTATAAAAACAAACTAAGCTTTCTAATTAATTTTTTTCTTGTTATTATTATTATTTCTGGAATTCGTTCTATGCTGACTTGAATCTGTAATTCTGTTTGCTGCTGCAGTTGTGTGATTTTGGATTAGCAACGTGGACTTCTGCTCCCTCAGCTCCATTTCTCTGCAAAACCGTCAAGGGAACGTTTGGGTATGATTTCACATAAACTTTTGCTGCCATCGATAACTCTTTCTGTTTGTTGTTCAACAAAGGACTTTCTTTCTTTATTGTTCGGTAAAATTACAAATATACATATATATATGTGTGTGTGTGCAGTTACTTGGCTCCAGAGTATTTTCAGCATGGGAAAGTGTCAGATAAGACCGACGTTTATGCTCTCGGGGTAGTCTTGTTGGAGTTGATTACCGGTCGAAAGCCGATTGAAGCAAGAAGGCCACAGGGAGAGGAGAACTTAGTCCTGTGGGTAGGTTAATGCACTTTCTTTTCTTGTGTTGCCTTTAATGTCTTTCTTGTGATTGAATGATAATCATCCATGTAGCTCCTGATTTATAAATACTTCTTCAGTTCTTCTAAGAGTAACTTAAAACGCTTCTGACATTATTTCATCAGTCGTTTCGTGTCACCTAATCAATTGGCGGATAATTATAATCTTGTTTCCTATAAGGCTTTATTTACTTATGTACAAACAAGTCTCTTTGTGTGAAAGTAATTAATCCATATGTCCAAATTGCGGAGTCGTCTGGGTCTTCTCAAAGCTATTAGGTCACGGTCTTGAAATAGTATATTAAAGCAGAATGTTTAGATGGCTCTTGTCTAATCAGGTTAAAAAAAAAACATTTGTTGTGCACGCTTAGATGTTTCCTTCTTTGTTTGTAATTGGGTTTCTGATGGAAATGAATTTGTGTTGTGAGTTGCGGAGATCAGGAAACTCAATCTAAATTCCGAAAACTTAAGCCTTAAGTCTTGGCTGCGATCATTGTAGTTCAAGTGAATTCTGAGTTATATTTATGTTGGGAATTGCCACTTGAGCTTCTCAATGAAAGACACTAATTTCATGCTAGACTTACAACAATTTGATTCTTCCATCTTTCTGGACGAGAATAGTTTGATCAGACAGAGACAAAAGCTGTGTAACAGGGGAAACTATAACAGGAAACTCTCAATACTCAAAAACAATTTTTTTTTTTTTTTCGATTTTCTTTTCAAAAAATTGGGCCTCCCATGTGCGGGTTTGTGATGCTTGTTATGCTTGTTGGTCATTCGGTCATTTTGTAAAAATTCAGACACAATAATAAGCGTCTTATAATTTTACATCTGCCAGGCAAAACCCCTCTTGCATAAAGGAAAAGGGGCCATCGAAGAGTTGTTGGATCCAAGGATCAAATGCACTTCAAGAAATTCAAATCAGATAGGCCGAATGATCGAAGCAGCCGCTGCCTGTGTAACCAGTGAAGAAGCTCGCAGGCCAGCAATTGGGGAGATTATTGCAACCCTGAAAGGTGAAGAGCAACCTGTTTTCTCAAGTAGAAAGAAGAAGTCTAGTTTTCTGGGAAATGGATGTGTTATTGATTGTTACTCTCAACCACCACCAACAAACAACGAAATGAAGAGCCACTTAGCTTTGGCCATGTTAGGGGTTTCGGAGTTTGAAGACGACGATCACCTTTATTGTCGTTGATACAAAAAAGGAAAGGTTTGACTACCTGATTTTTTTCCTCTTTGGTTTGATGGTTGCTTGAATACAGAGAGCGCGAGAGTTTAGAAGTGAAAGGATGTTGAAACTGTAGATAGGACTAGGGTGGGATCTGACTGTGGTTGTACATATTTTTGTCATATATTACTTGCCCCCGCCTGTAGGATATTGATAGGGGAATAGTGCAACAGATTTTCATTTGATTGTAGAAGGAGCTTTTTTATGTTTGTTTCCAAGTATAAAATTCGAGTGTAATTGATTTTCATTCCTGAGAAAACTTCGTTTTTGTTATTAAACCTCTCTCAGCACCATAAATAGTTTTCTAAGCAGCACCGTAAATAGTTTTCTAAGATAGTGGGAAGATAAAACAATCCATGATTCTTTCGTGCTGTTGTTGCATTTGCCATTCACTGTTGAGAATTATGATACAACCCGACACTCGTGACAAGAAATTTATTACTATAAACATTTATGACACGTTGTTATTTATTCACCTAACATGATTTGGCATGATGATACAACACACTATCATCACCACCTAGATGAGATCCATAAAGAAAATGAATCCATTAATGTCGTTATAAAAAGCCACAATAATTATGGCACTAAAAAAAATAATAGTAAAACATCAAAAGCTTTGACCTACCAAATTATCTTAAAAGTCTAAATGAATAAATGAATAAGTGTACTTTCTAAGCACTACTTGGCAAGCATGCAAATGAATCACAAAAAAGCATTGCCAAAATAAAATTAAATTAAATTAAACAAAAGCATAAATAAAATAAAATTGAACAAAAAAAATTGACAAATGAGCTTGAGAAATAGAGAGAAACTAGAATATCTTTGCAACATCCTTGATCAAGCCACGATTGGCCTGAGCAAATTCTGTGAATTCCTCGAGAGAAATGAAACCATCACCGTCAGTGTCGATCTCAGCCATCATGCGTTGCACTTCATCTGATGTGACAGAGCCAAGCGCTTTCAGCGCATCGCCTAGCTCCGTAGATGAGATCTTTCCGTCACCATTGCTGTCGAAGCTCTTGAAAATGCGCTCCCTCTCTTCCTTCTCCTTTTGAGCATCAGCCATTGTTTTTTTTTTTTTTTTTCCCCTTCTTTTTTCAAACCAAAAAGAAGTCTGAGAAATACCTAATTACTACTTTTGTCTCTACTTCGTTTTTTGTTACTAAAAAAAAAAAATGTTCATTGGGAGTTTTGGCTTCTTGGCTTTTAAGGAGAGAGTTTTACAGAAAAGTAAAGGTTGTACTTGAAAATCGGGTACTTTGTTTCAGCATCAGGCTTGCGTTACCTAAAGAATGAAACCGTCAACTGTTTTACCGGAATAATTAAGATAAGTTAGTTAGTCGTGGATATCCTAATAATAGATGGGACAGCTTTTAAGAAGAAAATTTTGAATTTTATTTTATTTATTTAATCAGTAACAAGTATGGGACTTTGTGCACACACAATGACTATGAATCGGATAATATTGAGTAGCAAATTGGGCTACAAAGTTGGGCTTGGTGGAATTCATTTTAGGCCTACTTATCCACGTATCTTGAAGGAAAAAATTACACAATTATTATGACTTCTAAAAGTGCCTCTTTTTTAATTTTTTTTTTAGGATATCGTATTAATGGAAAAATTACAAAATTTTCTTTTTACGCTAAGTCGTCTCACGAACATAACTTTAAATTTGACTTGCATACGCTCAGTTTAGCCGTGGATTTCTGATGCCGTCAATTGTTAGAGCCTTGAAAATCTATTGCCACACGTGGGAGGGATGTCTTGTGCAAGTCTCAGCTTAGACTACTCACTAAGAAATGAAATAACAAAAGTAATCAACGTGATAAAATAACGATTATAACGAATAACATTGTATCTGGTCTGACAAAATAAAATAATAGCATAATACGTGAACACGAAATAAACAATCCAAAATGCCAACAAAATCCAGCTTCTACTAAGAAAATTAAAAATAAACATCAGTAGATTAAAGTATAAGCTCAACATGAACGTCTAAACTCCAAAGTGATGTGCACAAGTCCTTTTTTTTTATTTTTTATTTTATTTAGAATAATGAAAATACAGGCAGTTGATGGTAGTATTATCTTACAAGTCGCCAAAAAAACATTATCTGAGTTTGGGTACATAACATTGATATTTTGACTATCAATCTAACTAAAATTATCTCTCTTATTGTACACTCTTGTCACAGTTCCAGTAACAATAATTTAGAATGTAATAATTAAAAAAAAAAAAAAAATCTAAGCAACAGATTTGAGAATGGCGTTTAGTACAGCTTCTCTAGTTGGCAAAGCAGGAATCGCACCTCTCTCCGTGACAGTCAACGCGCCACAAGCATTAGCAAACTTGAGAGCATCTCTCAATTTGTCCTCTTTCTACAATATGAATGAATGTTTCAAGGGGACACATAAGACTCTTGAAAAATGTTCTTTTTTTTAGGGGTGACAAAATTGACAAGACCAATAAAACATAGTAGCTATAGTCAGTCATATGATGGATTAGTTCTCGTTTCTGCGCCCATACTCACTTGACAGACTATACTCAACGCGGAAAGACGAGTCCTAAATCCAGATGATTTCTCGGACTCTCTTTTAGACACGAGTCTATTTTCTTACCACAATTCTAATGTGATGCAACTTTGTCCCTCCAGTTCACAATTCTTGTATGCTAGAACCGAACTAATGCAGGAGTGGGATAGGACAACTCTGACTTTCAGTTGGAAGACTCCTACACGGATTAGGATGCCTTATTGATTTACCTTTGCAAATTTATGCTTTAGAACAACTGGGTTATGTTATCAAGGGATTTATAATTGGGAATTAAAATATTGAACTTCCAAAGGCAGGCCTAAAATATTGGGGTAACAGCAATAGATACAGGATTAGACACTAAATATAGTGTGATAAAATATTTTCGAAGCAATATAGTTTCACCGGGAATATGTAACAGTGTGCAAGTAACTCTTTTTCTAGTTCTATTTTTTGTAAAGGATTTAAATATTCTGTATTCGCTTGAAGGTTTAAAAGAAAAAGAAAAAGAAAATCAAATGCCAGTACCTGAAGCAAGGAGAGGTCAAGTGCTAGTTGTGATAGTACACCGGCTACAAATGCATCCCCAGCACCAGTGGTGTCCACAGCATCTACCTTTACACCTTCCACTCTTCCACTAAACTCCTGCAAATACATAAACAGCTTGCAACCTTTATGTTACTTGAGAAGCACAACTCTGGTGTCCGACACTTTCAAAGACTTGTAAACAGAACATTCAACATCTTAAAAGATTTACTATTTGTGATCTCTCGGCATTTTGGTTTCCTAGTAAACTTGACTGAGTAAATGTCATAGATCCTTTCAACTCATACCAAATTGCATTGGACTTTTATTTTAAGGAATATTTTATAAATGGTTCAAGAAAAGGGATCCAAGAAACTGAATTTTGTCACACACGCCCAGTGTGTACACGTACAATGTTGGTTGTCAGTTGAATTTATGTAGGATTTGACCGTTTGACAACAGAATATCCTCAAGTTTTTCTCATTTCCAACTTTTGCAATTGAGGAACTTTGGTAGAGTTCGTTTCACCAATTTGAGTTTAGAATTCGAGTTTTATTACAGTAAAAAGCTCTCACAAACAGTCCCATCTAATTTTTTTGCTACAGTTAAAAGCTCTCAGAAACAGTCACATCTAACTTTTTTACTGCAGTAAAAAACTCTCACATAAAATCACATCTCAACTCGAATTAAAAACTCGAATCAGCGAACTAAACGGACCCTAAATGTCGAAAGTTGATGCGAACATAATTGTCCAATTCTAGCTTATAATAAATGAGATCTCTTTTTAAATTATCGGTTGTATATATTGAGCATCAATGTTTACCATCCGATTCTGCATCAATATTCATGTAATTGTGAAGCATAGAAAGAAGCACTTTTTCTCTTCAAAGCATTTATCTTTCTCACAAAAGGAATGTAATGCTCTTTGTCTACTCCCAAAAGAACGCCATAAATGATGTAAAAAATAAAAATGATTGGACATTCTACAAAAGAGAGAAAAATATTCATTCACTTTATTTATTTATTTATAAAATTACTTATTTTATTTTGTTAAGGCTTCAGTAGCTTTAAGTATTAGCAGAGTTGCACCTGTTTTGAGAAAACTGAAGGAATTAACAAATGCTTCATTAAATTCGAGGGCACGTACCGCCCAAAGAGAAGTGAATAGAAAAAATTTCAGTTTATAAGGACTCTTACCTTGGTGTAATACCTGCAACCATCCGGGCCCTCAGTAACAAGCAGTAATTTAAGATTTGGGTGGTACAATTTACGAACAACATTGTCATCATACGGATCTTCTCCTTGCGTTAGAAAAGAGATCTCTTCTTCGCTTATCTGAAAATTCATTCAACGGAAACACTCAGAGGTGGTATCTCCATTACTTTAGAATTCTATATTCACAAAATATCACATGTAAAACCAGAGCCACATGATCTGCATGTTTTAAGCACGATTACCTTGATGATGTCGGCAATTTCCCATATGCTCAAAATTCCTTCTCTGGCAGCGTCTGCAGAAGGCCACAGTGGAAGTCTGAGGTTTGGATCATAAGAAATGACCACGCCAGCATCCTTCGCAGCTTTTGCTGCAGCAATGTGGGCTGACTTGCATGGTTCTGTAATTAGACTTATAGAACCATAGTGAAATATTTTTGCCTGCCAGAAGATGGACAAAAAAAAAAAAAAAAATCATTATAAAAGTGAGCTCACTATGGAAAGAAAGAAAATAAAATAACTAGACGCATGGAATTTAATCAATAAACCGTTTGATGTCCATCATGAAAAGAGGCAGAAACTATGTCCATCATATCATACCTTTCCCAAATGTATTTTTGTCTGTTTTTTTTTTTTTTCCCTTTTTAGGGGAAAAAAATACTCTATAACGAAACTTCTTTGTAGGCAAAATGATGAAGAAAATAATGTCATACCTTTCTGATTAAATTCAGATCGAGTTCAGATTCTTCAAGCAACATGTCAGCACTAGGATTACGATAAAACATGAACTCACGTTCACCATCACTCCTCAGCGTAACAAAAGCTAAAGCAGTTCGTGCACCAGGGTCAAAACGCATTCCTTCAGTTTTCACATTATTTTCCTTCAGTATATTGGCAAGCATGTATCCAAACTCATCTTCACCAACCTGTAAACAGTGCACATATATGAGATATGACAGGATAAAGAAGAATATTTATTTTACCTTTCAAGCTTAAAAGCACATATCTTAAGTTATTACGATTGTGATATTACACAAACAATTGAATATATATACTCCTGAACTTTGGGGTCGTTTTTAGTTTGCCCCCTGAATTTTAAATTGTTCCCACTTAATCCCTTATGTTAGAATTTTTGTTCAAAATAGATAGAAAAAAGAATAATGCAGTCCCATGGTCTTTCTATTTGAATATCTGTTAAAAGCAAACGGATAAAAATCACATGACCACACTTAACCCTCTTTTTCCCGATCTTATTCTAACAAAAATTCTTACAAATGGGCTTAGATGGGACTAACCTAAAATTCATGGGGGCAAAGTGCGAGTTTTCAAAGTTTAAGGAGCAAACAGAGAATGACTCCAAAGTTTAGGGGGCGCCAATGATAATAATTCTAATAGATATATAACATATATATTTATATATATAGGAGCAATTAAAAAATGAAACTCGGTGTGAAAGTCTGCAATTATAATCATTGCCTGGCTTCATTAATGTTTTAACAAACAGATTTCTTCTGAAAAGTTGCATTCCCGGATAACAGATTGTACATATATCTGATCAAACCAGGTTTGTCGAACGCCATTTGTTACTAAAATTTTCTAATAATCACTTTTAGGAGTTGTAAAAGCAATCTCGAGCTGGCCCTACGATCCGAAGGACAAAATATAAGAAAAGAAAATCAAATCTTGAAATGCTTGTTCAACACTTGCATACTTGGAGATAATATTGTATACACAAACTGATGTCTGCAACATCCTCATCCTTTTCCTTTTTTGTTCGGCAATTAAATGTTTGTATAAGCCACTAAGTAGATCAAAGTATCTCATAGTTAACAAAACTGCAAGATAATTATATTACATATATGCAGATACAAACAAAACATTTTGTATGTTTGTTGTGCAAAATGTTCACCTTTTATTAGAGCCTCAGAATTGTTTCTCTTCTGTAAGTTTAAGAACCAATAATGATAATAAGAAGATAAAAGTTGAATTGTTAACAACGGTACCAAACCTTCCCAAGAAATGCTGATGAACCACCGAGACGAGCTATACCAACGGCAACGTTAGCAGGTGCGCCTCCCGGAGCTTTCTTAAAAGCAGGTGCTTCAGCCAATGAAACTCCATTAACAGTCGGGACGAAATCAATCAACAACTCTCCAAAACAAACCACGAGTGAGGACTGGTCTGTTTCTGACAATCCTGCTCCTGGAGCTGGAATTGCTCTTCCTTAAAAAAAAAAACAAAAAAACAAAAAAAAAAGCTGCATCAATTTATTTGGCGGAAAAAAGGAGAACAACTGAACTGAAGGAAAAGAAGAAAAGTTGAAAAAAGTGGATCATTTATGCTACTAATTCTTAAAGAATGCTCAATCAAGAAGATACTGAAGCTGACTTGCTAGCACTCAGTATCATTTCTTTACAATTTTCTCCTCCTCGATTTCTACCTTGCTAATGGCAAATGGCAATGGCATGCGGTGTCAAAATGGTCACATCAATGTAGATTGTAATGCAGTAGTTGTTGTAAGCTACAAAATTTAACATTAACCGTAACAATTATCTCTAATTTGGAACCCAAAAAAAAAAAAAAAACACTTTTCTGACTAAATCAATCAACCGTGAATCACATTGGAGTTGTTTGGTTGTTCAAAACTTAAACAAACAAGAAATTTGAATGAAATTCCAAGAGAAAGAATGAATTACCTTTTACACAAGTGAATCTGGCAAATGAAGTAAGTGGTGGCGGGCAAGAAAATCCAGAAGCTCTAACATTTGTGACAGCGATAGCGGTCATGAGGAATGGAGGAGGAGCCACCCTGCTGCCGAAGCAGAAACTGGTCGAGTGAAGACCCATCCAATTTCAAAATTTTAAGAATTAAGAATTAAAAATCACAAATTACAATTACAAACAACAAAGTCCAAATCCCAGAAAGAAGAAGTCGATCAATTTCATCAAAAAAAGAAGAAAAAAAGAAAAAGGTCAATTGAATTGAGAGACTTGTCTTGAGTTGAGGAGTGAGGAGTGAACAGAACAAACAAGTAGGCGCAGCAGCGGAGAAAGCAAACGGGGAAAGGAAGATATATGTTCGAAAGCAATATTTTAGCTTCCTTTATTATATAAATATAAATAAAATACAACTATGGTTTTGCTTTTGGGACAATCAAACCGAAACCAAATGGTGCAGAGGCAACTTTGTTCTTGTTTTATCGTTTGTTTGTTGCCAAGTGGACGCCAGACTTCACCTCCATATATCTCATTATCTTCTCCTTTTCTTTTTGTTTTTTAGTTTTTTCTCTTAAATGTACTTTTTTTTAAGGGATAAAGAGAAAAATAAGCTAAGATTTGAGATGAATTAAAATTAATAGGTTAATAATTTACATAAATTAATAAATAAGTTAAATTACTGTTTTCGTCCCTAACTAGTCTGGTTATGAACCATAATTTGACAAGCTATTATCCATAATTGTCCATAACTTGTCTGACTATAAACTATAACTTGACAAGTTTATCTATAACTTATCTGATTATGTACCATAACTTAACAAATTATGACCTATTAATTTCTATAACTAAAAATTAGCTTATATATTTTCTTAAACTTTTCATATTCACATATTTTCTACTCTTTCTTTTTTTTTTTTAAAAGTACTGACATCCTTATTCACCTATTCAGTTTCTTATAATTATATTTTTTTAAATGTGATAGTCTAAAATTGTTGGGTGTATATGAAAATGAAACGTTTTTGTATGTTATCGGAGACATGAAAATAAAAACAGTATGTAAACTGTTTTTGTTCAATAAAGTGTTTTAAAAATAAAAACGAAAATAAAAAAATAATAATAATAATTTTTGTTAAGGAATTTAAAAATGATAAAGTTATTTTTTCTTTTTTATTTTTATTTTCTAATACTTATGAGTAGTGTAATATTTAAAAATTAATTACTAGTTATTAATTATCAATTATATACTAATATATTAATTAATAATTAATAAATAGATAATAGTTACTTAATTATTAATTAAATATTCATATCTTATTATTGAATTTGTACTTTAGTAATAAAAAATTAGAATAAATAATAAATAATAAATAATAATAGTAATTAACTTGTTAGTTAAAGATTAATTACCACAATTTGATTATATGATATATTAATAATTAATAATTAGTTATTAAATATGTAATTAATAATTAATAAATCAATTATACTAGATTAACAAGTTAATAGTTAATAAATAAATAAATAGTAATCACTTAATTAATATTAGTATTAATTTATAATTATTAATTTTGTAATATACTAATCAGCAATAATTAATAAATGATAATTAGTAATTAATTATTATTGAAAGAATAATTACTAAAAATTTATCATGTAATATATCACACTATAGTTTATTCAATAGATATAAGTAATTAATCAACTAATTATTTGATTATATAACTAAAAGTTAATTATTTAATTATTAAAAGCAAATTAATTCAATTCAATTTAAATAATAGTTTATTCAATAAACATTAATAATTAATTAACTAAAGTTAATTACCGTCCTTTTTTTGCGTTTATGGATGTAATTGTGTAGCATGTTTACTTATCAGGAGTAGGGAATGGGAATTCAGATTCGGAATCAACTCTATGTTTACTTACTCATTTATATCCTGGAATGGGAGTGAGAATGTGTGGGCCCCACACCAATTTGGGATTGGCACTCCTCCCACCCCCAACCGGATTGCCACTCCCAATCCTGATATTAAATATAAAATTATGAATTTATCCTTATTTTTCTCCTTTATTTAACTCTCTAGGGTTTATTTCTCCCTTTTTCTCTCTAGGGTTTAGCAACAGAGCATGATTTACTATGTGTATTCTACAACATTCCGGATCAACTCAAGAAGGGATACATCCTCAAAATTCTTAGTCGTGGGGTTTAAGTGTTAGATTAGTCAATTATTAGTTTACTTAAATTATGTTGGTACTTTGAATTATGCTTAGGACATATTTTTCGATTTATGACTTGGAACTTCTTTTTGAAAGTTTATGACTTAAAACTTAGTTATTTTGTTCTTATTTTATTTCATCATCATATTCTTTTCTTGAAATTGAGTTAAAATTTATTGAGAAAAATAACTTAGATGATTAATTAGGTGTGATTAAAAAAATCCAATTACTAGTTAGTTATTCTAATATTAAGATAGTTAGCATAATATACAATTTTTTTTTAAAGTTCAACACACAAAAATCTTCTAAAGGGTAGGTAAGTAAATTTATAACAGTTTATTCTGATTCTGAGTGTAAGTAAACGCATGAATAGAATTAGGATTGATTCCGATTCTGATTCCTGGAACCTAAGTAAACAACTTATTTTGACTCTGATTTTTGACTCTGAATCATGTCCACTCTGATTACGGATAAAGGATTACAGATAAATAAACATGTAAGTCTACGTCCAGACGTCACCTTTTCAAGCTATTTCCTCAATTTTTCTTTTTTGAAAGTCAAGTGCTCAATGCGTATAGAGGCTATAGGTGTAGATGTGTTGGTGTGCTGAGATAAACATTAGCGCAACTTTTATTTTTTTCTGTTTTTTTACTACTTTTTACATTTATTATTTAACATATGGGTGACCTTTTTTAAAATTATAATTTTTGTTTCTATTATAGTATTTTTATCTCATAAAAAGGTGAATTTTAAAAATTAAAATTTTAAATTAAAATTTTAAATTTATGAATCAAACGTCACTATAGACTCAATTATCTTATTTTCTAATTAAATGATAATATATTATATTAAAAAAGTTTATATACCAAGCAGTGAATGCAGAAAATAACAAAAAAAGTGACTCTACCATTCATTTCTCATTAAAAAATAGCATTGATATTTGATCATATCATATGATGCCATTCATTTATGCTAAGATCTTATATATATATATATATATATACACACACGTAATTGGTTATTCATTTTTAAAATCCGTAAGAAATGTTTCCTTATGGTTTCCTTATGATATTCTATTATATTTATATAGGTTGCTTCTCCTGCAAATTCAAATTAAAAATAAAAAGCACGATTACAAATGAAAGGGATATGTCTGCAAAATTTTAATAACGCCGTAGACAATCAAAGCATATATATATATATATACACGCACACAAAAACACACACACACACATATATATATATATTATATGATATAAACATTTATTTATACAAATTAAAATAAAATAAAAATACATAAAAAATAAAATAAAATCACACAAAAAGAAATAAAAATCTAATAAAACTAAAATAAAACAAAATACATTAAAACAAACTAAAATAAATTAAAATCTTGAGAATTAAGCCAATTTTTGTACAAAATTAAAAGTAAAATAACTATATTTTGAAGAGTTATCATGGACAAATTATAATAAGATACATTTCCGATCTCAAATTGTATGAGTATTCGGGTCGATTTGTGCGATTTTTTTAGAAACCATCAACTAAATTAAAAATAATTTTTTTAAGCGGTCTTCGGCTTGATATTTTTAACAAAAGTCAAATTAAACCAAATCACATGTAAACAGTTTGGGCGGTTTGAGTTTGGGACTAAAAAGGATTCAATAATTTATAAAAATTATAAAATCATTAATCCATAAAAATAAAAAATAAGATTCAACCCAAAAATAGCAAATGTATAAAAAATCACCATTTAAAGTTTTAATACAAATCAATAAAAATATGATAAGGTGTATTTTATAAGTACATAAATATTTAAATAATAGTTTATTCAATAAACATTAATAATTAATTAAATAAAGTTAATTACCGTCATTTTTTTTGCGTTTATGGATGTAATTGTGTTAAGTCTACGTCCAGACGTCAGCTTTTCAAGTTATTTCCTCAATTTGTCTTTTTTGAAAGTTAAGTACTCAATGCGTATAAAGGCTATAAGTGTAGATTTGTTGGTATGCCGTGATAAATATTACCGTCATTTGTTTTTTTTTTTTTTTGTTGTTTTATTTTATTTTTTACATTTATTATTTAACATGTAGATTTAATTATTTAATTATTTTATTTAAATAATAATATATTATATTAATAGAATTTATGTGTTAAATAATTAATGATAAATATAATAACAGAAATAGTAACTCTAACATTCATTTCTCATTAAAAAATAACATTGATATTTGATCATATCATATGATGCAATTCATTTATGCTAAGATCTTATATATATATATATATATATATATACACATATATATACACATATATATGATTGGTTATTCATTTTTAAGATCCGTGAGAAATGTTTCCTTATATAGGTTGCTTCTCCTGCAAATTCAAATTAAAAATAAAAAGCACGATTACAAAAGAAAGGGATATGTCTGCAAAATTTTAATAATACCGTAGACAATCAAAGCATATATATACACGCATACAAACACGCGCACACACACACACACACACACATATATATATTATATGATATAAATATTTATTTATACAAATTAAAATAAAATAAAAATACATAAAATCACACAAAAATAAATACAAATATAATAAAACTAAAATAAAACAAAATACATTAAAACAAAACAAAATAAATTAAAACAAACCAAAATAAATTAAAATCTCGAGAATTTAGCCAATTTTTGTACAAAAGTAGAAGTAAAATAACTCTATTTTATAGAGTTATCATGGACCAATTATAATAAGATACATTTCTGATCTCAAACTATAGGAGTATTCGCAATCAATTTGGGCAGTTCTTTTTAGAAACCATCAACTAAACTAAAAATAATTTTTTAAAGCGGTTTGCGGCTTGATATTTTTAACAAAAGCCAAGTTAAACTAAATCACATGTAAACAGTTTGGGCGGTTTGAGCTTAGAACTAAAAAAGTTTCAATAATTTATAAAAATTATAAAATCGTTAATCCATAAAAATAAAAAAATAAGATTCAACCTAAAAATAGTAAATGTACAAAAGTTCACCATTTATACAAACCAATAAAAATATGAGAAGGTGTTTTTTTATAAGTATATAACCTTCATTATGAAAAATAAAAATAAAAATAAAAATAAAAATATTTTAAAAATTAAGAAATTATATACGTATATTTTTGGCAGATTATTTGGCAGTTTAGGAGATTTAGGGAGTCCAAACCACAAATTAAACTGCCCAAAAAATTTAGATTAAAAAACCGACTAGGCCACCTAATAATCTAAAAATAATTAACAATTTGGTTCAGTTTGATTTGGATTGAGCGATTTTCATGGCTTGATGTACTTTTTAAAATGTATCCTTCAATATTTTTACTAGCGATAATAGAAAAAGTATTACAAAGATAACATTAGTTTTTTACTTCTTCTTCTAAGTCGCTATCAATTGTCATACCATGCGTTTGTTTCATATATTTGAATTACTATTCAAACTTTTTTATTGTAATATTTTTCTCATAAAATTTAAATTTTTGGTCAAACTTTTCTATTTAAATTTATGAATCAAACGAGTCTGTAGATTATTTTGATAACTATAGTAGTTACCAACAATCACAGATTTTATAATAGTTGACCACAAATAATTATTATAAGGGTTTTTTTTTATGATAGAACCTTACCGGTTACCATTGTGAATACTTTTAAAAGTTAAATCTAATTTAAAATGTATGTAGATAACTAAAGTTATAAAATAGAGCTCTAGCAATAATAACTAAACTCTTCTATCTTAAAAAACATATTTTTAATTAGTAATATGTATTAAAAAAGTTAATCCGTATTTTAAAATTTTAGGTCCTACTATAACGTTTCTTATGACCCCACCTCTTACTATAACGTTTTTTATAATTTAAATTATTCAAATTCTCCCACCTCTTACTAATAAAGGGCAAAAAAAGGG